GGCCGGCTGCCTTTCCTGCCCACCTGGTGGCGCCGCCTCCCGTTGCTCGGCCCAGCAGTGAAGCAGCGGCGCCGAGCTCCGTTGGGCAGGGCGGCGTGCCCCGGCCGCGCCGGGTGGGGGTGGGGCAGGCGGGACCTTTGATCTGCTGCAGCCGCTCAGGCCTGTGAATGACGCAAAGCTGACCCGCTGAGCGGCTCATGCACCTGCTGAGAACAGCTGAGGTATTGATCAGAGCCCGGCGAATCCGCAGCGCGGTTAGTTGGCGAATCGGCCGCCAGGTGGCTCGCGCCCGGCGGTTAGCATAATCATGCTGCATTGAAGTGCTTGCGTTGAAACCGGAAAAGTAAGCTGGGCTGAGAGAGAAGATGAAAACACGGTTAGGCACTTTGTAGATTTGCATACCAGGAAGAGGATATTAGACCACCCGACACCGAGGCTCCAGGCGTGTCGTGAAAAAGTTCTGAAACGAGCGTTTATCCAACAACGGCAGTGTTGTACCTTACTCTTCGCCGACGTCAGTATCTGTCCGTGATGTCACACCAGCACTACAAACCTGCGTGATAACTGTGCAACACGCGGTCTGTGATCATAGGCACCAAGCGCCTGACGTCGACGGCACCGCTCCGCACGCCGTCACGAGACACGTGACGGTGTGCGTGTTCGCCGCATCGCTGTCGTCCCGGTGCTGGCCTCGGCCAGCGCTGTGTCGCCTCTCTCGCGACACGTTCTCCTAACGGCTGCCGCGCAGTTGGGCCTCCGTCGCACCGCCGCCTGGCCGTTGTTCGCTCGGATCAGCGTCAGCCGCATCGCTGACCCGACCGTTGTCAGCACGGATCAGCGCCGCTGCACCGCTGACCGCGTTGTCCGCACGGATCAGCGTCCGCCGCACCGCTGACCTGACCGTTGTGCGCACGGATCAGCGCCGCTGCACCGCTGACCGCATTGTCCGCACAGATCAGCGGTCGACGGTCGACTAGAGGCTCTAGTCTATAATTTAGACGTCTACAGCCGCAATACGTCAGACGTCGGACGTAACGTGTCTAGGACGTCTTTATTGCTAGAGACGGACGTCCCCCCCCCCCCGCACGGTGACGAGTGAACAGCGTCTCTGGGGCTCTTGCCGGCGGGGAACGGGGTGGCAGACCGGCCCATCTGGGTCCGAGTGGTGCAAAGTGGGAGCCGGAGTGGCGCAAAGCTCTCGCGAGCTGCGGCTGTTCCGGCTGTGCTGCTGAGTTGGGCGCTTTTCTCGCGATCTCGGGCAAGATTTGATGACGAAGACAATGGATTGAAGTACTGAAGGACGTCGCCTCAAGGAGGGAAAGCTTATCCGTTATCGATGTCGGACTCCGATGTGCGTAAAATGAGGATCAATGGTGTTTGGCGGAATATTATTTGTTCATGATGACAGTCGCATTTTATTTTGAAGCAGGCCTTATCGCGCGTTCGCGATCGGTATTCAACAATAAACCAACGCCAATGATTTTGAAACACCACATTTTGTTGGTCTGTGGAAAGTGGCGTTTTAAGGGGGGAGGGGGAGGCGCCATTTGGCCATGGTCCTTCCGATGGCTGCCGGGGAGTTTCTTGCCGGGAATGGTGACAGCTGGCCACAAGAGCGCCAGTGCAATGGTGCCGAATCGGTTGTCGTGGTTCTGACACATGCGGTCTCACCATGACACCGACGGCGGCGTATAAACGTACAATATCCTCCAGGGCTCTCCTGTGAGCATCAGGGGTGCCTCTGTGGCCTGAAAGTAGACTCTTCAGCCAGAAAGGACACCCACTTCCCTGATGTGGACATGCATCTCGAGACCTGAAGAAACACCCTCAGACTGGAACACTTGCTTTTCAGACATGAGGCCAGCCAGAGTTGTAAAGGCCATATTCTGAACGGAACATTTGAAAATTCTCCCCAAAACTTTTTGCGCTCTAAATGTGAAGAAGCACCCCATATATGAAAAAACAGTCATGAAACAAGATGGCAAAGCAAAGGAAAAAGCACATGAATGCACCCCTCGGGCCTAAAGGGGCACCCAGACCTGAACGCACGGAACAGTGGCCCGAAGGACACCTCCGTAGTTAACAATACGCCCGCTGGGCATGGAGAGCGTCTCTCATAGCCTGGAGTGGCAACCCTCAGGCCCCAAGGGTGCCCGTCTTTGTCGCAGTTCTTCGTCAAATATGCCCACGGACCTGAAAGAATGACCCATGCGTGGTGATGCGCCCCAAATAGCGAAGGGCGTCACAGTGTCTGGACAGGTGTGTTCATGGCGTGAAAGGGCGCCTTAGAAATGCCCCGGGCCGAGAAGCTGTGAAGACGCACTTGTTGCGCCGTGTTTTCCTTTGTCTCCTTTGCTCTAGAAGTGAATGACGATAAAAACAGGGATGAAATATCGGAAATTGTGCCTCAGGCTCAAAGAAAAGAGAAGGACCTGACTACGTCCTCTGGGATTCTCAAGGCGATCTTTCAACTTCGCTAATATTCCTTAATGAAAAACTTACGGTGAAGTGCGTTCCGAGGTGGTATTGGAAACAGTTCGCATCATATCGGAATCTGTACCACCTCTTAGCCAGAAAAGGGTTAATAGGGAAGCCGTCTTGAAAGCAATTAACGAGTTGTTCCCGTTTAAAGCCACCAGTAGATTGCCCGCCTCAGATTCGCCTACGTTCGTAATGGATGGCTAATTTGGCGTCTCCCGCCAGCTGTTTCCTTTGTAACGGATAGCGAGTTTAGTGGCGTAATAATGGTGTCTTTGATTAGTTTTAACCCAGGAACAAACGACACCTACTATGACTACGATACGAACTGAGGACATAGCTCGTCATTAGAGGCAGTAACAGTGCGGAAGTTCTATACGCCACTTTCTAACTTACGAGATAGTCGTGCAGTTAGGGGTCATTTTATTGATAACGCTGCTTCCAAGACATCAGGGATGTTCCTCTGGGCGTGGCACAAGTTCATCACAAGCTGAACTCCAAGCTGGGATCCGGAAACGTAAGGACTTTGAGGCAGAACGAGTTGCGCTCTCCGCGTTTTGCAGCGCTCTCTGTGGTTTGTTTTCTGCAAACGGGTGGGCCCAAAAAGGGAACAAAATTGGATGCCGAGTTTCGGCAAAACAAAAGCGAAAGCAAAACTGGACGAGTGGACTGCCTGAGTTCCGGCCTATCGATTGGCCATCTTAAGACAGTTCCTGCGAGGCTTTCAGAAAATATCCAGTAAGTACAGAGAACATACGAATTGTATGTTGTAAGACATGCTTGTAGGAACACGTTGAAAGACGTTTAAAAAGACATTTTGCAAGGTGCCGGCAGTGTGCTGATTTTGAAAGCGTTTGTCTTCCCCCTCTCTCCCTCAACCGCTGGCAAAATCATAAAACCTCACCCCATGTTATATATATATATATATATATATATATATATATATATATATATATATATATATATATTTACGTATGTATATTTACAAGATTGTGTGTTATATCTACACAGCATTCCAAGTGTAAAATATACAATATGTTTGTGCGACACGGTTTTTCATGATGATAAACTTTAAATCTCAACGAGGCATATTTCGCGCCTGCATGTTTCGAATGGCTAGTGGATGCTCTTTGGTTCGTTGACTCACGACGACCTCAGAGGTTCCGAGTTCCCGAAAGCTAAACAAGGCTGAAACATGTTGAATGGGACATTTGACAGGTCAACTCTGGCCATAGGGTCAAACTGGTAGTTGGTAGTTCGCTCATGTTATGTCAGGAACTATCCATGTTAAGGCGATGCGGAAAACGTTGTTGAATAGCTTTCGGGAGACTTTATCCGGTGGGTTCTAGCAGACATCGACGAATGTGACCTGCAAGGTGTCATGTCAGGTCAAAGGAGTAAAGGGGATTGTTGCATTGACCCGCCAGGATATACATATCAAGATGAACGCAGGCCATGTTGCAATGGGGAAAAAAGGTTTAGAGACGTTCCAGAGCTGTAAGATATTGACGTTAAGATCAAGTCATATGCCAGCCAAAAAATCAAATCTGGTCACAAAGGTCGATGTTTACTTTGCTTGACATTTGATGGCCTGACGTTGAAAAATCATTAAGAGTAATAGTAATGCATATCATGGTGATAACGTGGAAAGGCTCAGTCTAGACAATCTAGGGGATGCATTTCCTGTGAGAACTAAGTGCTATTGGGGACGTTTTAGCCAAATGTCTCCGATATGACTCCGAGAAAAGGAAGTCATAATTCATCAAACGTCAAGGTCAGAAGGCTTAACTATCAAGACGTGTGTAAGAATGACGCAAACTCGGCAATCAAAAATAGCAGCGCCTTGCTCCATACGCCCCGAAAGGAAACCCAAGGGTCCTCCGGGCCCCTACCCCTCCCCATCAACTCATAGAGCAGAGGTTAACGGGTCCCGCATTTCGTTGCTTATCTTACGTGGATGGAATAAGTATTCTGACTATCGTCCTTGTCTGGTGTTTTGGTACGTCCACAACGATTTGGCTTGTAAACTCTCTGACCGTCGTCAGGTTTTATGGAATCCTGAAAAGGATTGGATGATTATGGCTGACGATATTCTCAGGGCCTCGCAATACGTGATGACGGCCGGAGGTTTACCTGGCCGAAACGTTTTTACATTCTTATAAACCAGACAAGGATGACAGGTCGAATATTTGTTCCATCCGTGGTGTTTTTATTGTTTTTATTAATATTAACTATTTCTCGTCTCAACCCTTTCGTAAAACTCATATCGTGCATGTTTTTTGTTCCTCGCAGAGCGAACACATTCGCCCGATTTGCCCTGGATCACCAGTTCTGTAATGCTCAGCAGCATTACGATGTTCAGAAAATGCTAATGTTGATCTAAGCGCAATAATTTCTATCGTATTCATCCTTGGAGCAGTACACACAGCGCTCGCCAGCTAACGAGTTGGGCTTAGACGACATTACCGGCGTCCCGCCACACCGGCTGGGCCCACTGAACCGACCCTGCTGTCTGCCGGCAGACCATGTGGATCAACAAGCTGCGCGAGGCCCAGGAGAAGTGGAAGCGCACGCTGCAGAACACGGTGTTCCGGGCGACGACGCCGGAGCCGCGGCTGCGCACGCAGCCCGCCGCGCCGCGCCCCTGACCCGGGCAGGAGTGGGAAGGCGCGCTGCTACCGTTGCTGACCCTGACGGAGGAGCTGCGCACCTCGAACATGCCGCCGGCGGCGCTGACCGAGGATGCCATTCTTCCGGCTCTGTCCCCGCTCAGCGTTGACCCGAGTCGGGTCAAGGACGGCTTGGGGCCCATCTGCTCCTCTTCGCTAAGGGCATAGTGGCCGGGCGTGAGGACGCTTTCACGAGGCTCGCCCCCGGACATGGATTCCCTGACCTTGGGTCATTCAGCTTCAACCATCAATCGCTGTGGCGCCGCAACCGCCTAGCCTACACCCCGGCCTGTCGCAGAAACCACCGCTCCACGAACCGCATACCGACGCGCCTCCCGGCTCCCACGTCCCCGTCTTCGAGCGTGGCATGGCGAGGCGCCGCCCTTTCCGACGCGCCGCTGGCAGAACGGCGCGACGTCACGGCCGGCGTGGAGCCGCGCCGGCTGGGACCACGCGGCGCGCGCTCAGTACAATGTCCGCACGATGTGCCGCCGATGTACCCGACCCGTGTGTCTGCTGGTGTCGCGCGCCCGCCGCCGCCGGCGCTGCGTCGGGCGCCGGCCGGGCCGTGATGTCAGCTGCTTGGCGACCGTCGCCACCCTGCCCGGCCTCCTCCCGCGCGGCGACCGGCGCCGGCAGGGAGGACGGCGGCGTCGTCGGCGCCTGGCGGCCCCCGCCAGGTGCCCCTCACTTCTTCCACGTGTCTCGCTGCTGGGGGCGGGGACTTCGGTGGCGCGCGCGGTCGTCCAGATGTCTGGCGGTGTGATGTCGGGCCGGCGCTCCGTGCTCCGGGATGGCGCGCAGCGCTGGCGCTGGAGGCAACCGTTCGCGATCGTTATCGGTAGAAGTAGAGTTGCCGTACTCCGTCTGAGACAGCCGGGCGTGTATCATCAGTGTCTTATGTCGGGCCCAGTTTGCCGCCAGTCTGCCCGACGCTATGTGCCGAGACGGTTGGCCCGTGGTAGGGGTTCGCTGTAATGCTGTCTAGCCGAGCGCATGCTTTGCGCATGGAGTGGTGCACAAGTTACAACCGCGATTAGACGAAACGAGCAAAAGCGGGCGAGCAATATGTCCAGCTACCGATAGTAGACCTTCCCGAAGACTGCGCGTCTCTATCAACATTATACCGTGCACTCTTGGCTTCAGTCTCAGACTCGAATAAAATGCAATCGATAAGCCGCAAAGGCACTATATTTCGACTGGTATGTCCTCTTCAGGCGAATTTGGAAATTGAAAAACTCTACAGCCGCGGTTTATTACAAATTGATGAACCCGCTGTGAACTCTTGCCCTAAAACTCACCTGAAGAGGGCATTTCTGCCGAAATGCGGTAAATTTTGCGGCTTTTTTATTGTATTTTATTCGAGTTTGAGACTGAAGTCAAGAGTGAACCGTATAATAATACGAATGGCCGGACCGGGAGCGGGGCCGACCGTGACCGCAGACGTCTCCAAGACGTCACGTGATCTCGATGGGTCCCCGATTCTCACCGTCCTGGGTCGGTCCTGGCTACGCCACCACGTGTAGGGCCGACGGTGATGATCCATCGCGCTCAGCGGAGTCAGCGAGCGAGGTTAGCGGCCCCAGTGGAGTTAGAGAGTGGGGTTAGCGGGCTCTAGCGGAGTTCGCGAGCGAGCTCAGCGGGCTCTAGCGGGGTTCGCGAGCGAGATCGGTGGGCTCTAGCGGAGTTCGCGAGCGAGCTCAGCGGGCTCTATTGGAGTTCGCGAGCGATGTTAGCGGGCTCCAGTGGAGTTCGAGGGCGAGCTCAGCGGGCTCTAGCGAAGTTCGCGAGCGGTGTCAGCGGGCCCTAGAGACCGGAACCGCCCGGTTCGCGCGCTTCCCGAGGAGCTGCGGCTGGACCCTGCGCTTGGTTGTCCCGACTGCCAAACTGGGAGGGTGTCGCATGTTCCTTCCTGTTCCCTGACGCCGAGCAGCGCGGGGTGTGTGTCGTGAGGGCTTCAGGCGCACTGCAGAGGTGAGAGGCCCGCTACCGCTGGCCAGAGCTGAGTATTTTCGATGCGTAGTCCCGGCGAATGCAGGTTCATATCGTTCGACGTTAGGATGGGGAGACGAGACGCTTTCTGAAGACTTCTGAAGACTTATTGACGTGCTGATGAATGTCTGGTTTTTATATGTTTGTCGCAACTATCATTGGTCAATAAATGTTTATATCATGTTGCTAGCACAGGTGTCTGGTGCTGACGTCTGGCTGCCGAACGATGAATGACGATCCGATGAGAACAGATCACGGAAAGAAGTCTCCAGGCTGGTTAGCCTCTGTCTCTTAAATCATCATCACTACCACCGCAGTAGCACTCTCCTTGAGGACTTTCCAATTGCTTCTCCTTGGAACACTCCTTGGCGCGGGTTTCCCCCTCTCCTAGAAGGAGATAACAGCCTCAATGACATTTTTCTCGGAGACCGATAATAAGCTCGCCGTTATCGGCGTTATCCGCGGCCATTTGAGGGATTCACCCAAGGCAAACTAGAGGACTAACGACCAGCGTGCACGGATTCTTTGAAGGCCTGTCTTTGAAGCTCTCTGAAACTTTGAATGTCTGTCCTCTCTGTTCTCGCTGTGAGACTTTCACAAGCTAGAATTGTCCAGCTGAAAGCATGTAACATGCAGCAAACTGGCGCTTATAGTTCGTTGAGCCTAACGAGCGATTGAAGTCATCCCAATTTGCACACCTGTGCTGTCCAGATGCGCGATGCGGTTCCCTGAACCTATGCGGACTAGATCATCACCAGTACGAGTTCAGGAGCTCTAAATCAACATCACTTGAGGTCGCCTTCTCCCCTCTGGACTTTTCTCTTCATAACCATTTTGTATATTAAAGAACCCGTTTATATCCGTACTTTCTCGCCTTGTCTTATTCTCTCATCCGTTCGATTTCCCTCGGTGCCCGCCCTTTCTGTCAAGATGACAGGCAGATGACGCCATATATCGTCAGCAGCTGAGTGTGTCGTAAAATTCAAATTACACACACGCGCGGGAGTGCACCCACACCCACACGCACGTACGCACGCACGCACGCACGCGCGCGCGCACGCACGCACGCGCGCACGCACGCACGCACGCACGCACAGGCACAGGCACAGGCAGACGCACACGCACACGCACACGCACACGCACACGCACACGCACACGCACACGTACACTCCCTTTCCCTGATTTAAACCACCGGCATGACTTGAGCAGTTACCTGAATTTGAAATGAGTACGGATCCGACCGGAGCAAGGATGTCACACAGCGGCACGGCTTCGACTGGTATGTAACTCACATCAAGTTGAAAGTGACTGCAAGATCGGCTTGGACCAGGACGATACCATGAATGACGCTGACCGTCGTTGCATGAATGACGTCCTCCGTCCCAATCCCCCATTGGACATTGGTACGTGTTGCTCTAGGGACCGGTCAAGACAAGGCGCAGCCAACCAAATAGCCGCTCGTACACGCAAAAAGTGCGCGACGACGCTCATTTCGGCGCCGCCGCCGGGCCGACAGCTCTTCCAGACTCAGCCAATACTACTCAACGTCAGTGCGTGTGTGTTCTGGACGGTCAGTCACAGGTCGGTCGGCCCTGCGCGTTGACTGGGATTGATCCCACGGGGTGGTCCAGCAGACGGGGTGGTCTTGTTTCAGTCTCAACAGTGAGCCAGTCGATGTTCAAAACATCATCGCTTTGAACTCGGTGTCTGCGCAGATCTTCACAAAAGGAGGTACTCATGGGGTGAGAACACATTGGCCGCATGCTGAGCACCCGTGTAGCTGCGATGTGGGTGACATCTTACTTTCCTTTCAAACATCTTCCTCTGTGCTTCAGGCTCCCCCCCCCCCCCCCCCCCCCCCAATACATGTTGTTCCGTTTCGCACTCTCCCTTCTCTTCCTCGCGATTCGCCTGGCACGCTCCCTTTTGTTCCTCGCGCTCCACTTCGCACGCTCCTTTTTCTTCCTCGCGCTTCACTTCGCACTCTCCCTTTTCTCCCTGGCAATCCGTACGTAGCCCCTACTGCTCCAGGCCCAGAGCAGTGGGTCAGTCAGGCATCCGCTGTCCGACAACGGCGTCCGCCGGCCACGCCTCAAGCCCGCAGGAACAGGCAAGGCAACCAGCCATCACATCCCACGCACCGCAGCTCATTCACTGATCAGATTGGCCTAGACTGGTCCGAGAGATCAGCAGGTCTGGGTTCCATAGTCAGTGAGATCCAGGCATGATGATCGTACCTACTCGCCAAACTTCATCAGCATTCGTCACCAGCAGGCCGCACCAAACCATGGCTCTTGTATTTGACGTTTAAAGCATTGTTTAATATATAATGGCTATTCCGGTGTTGAGTCGTTAAGAGGAGACTCATGCTAAAAGGGCCACTCGCAGCAGCCATCACACAGAAATACAGCAAAAGCACACATACAAAACACACCTCGGGTACACACCCACCCACACACACATATACACATGGTAACCAAGTTCTAGATAAATGATTTCACACTTCATACGTGAAAAGCGTTTGTGACAAAGTATGTAGGTCCGGAAGTGAAGCGTCGTAGCTTGTTCCGCAATGTACGGGAGGCGCCGTCTACCCACCTCCGTTCCCACGCGCGGAGGAGCTAGATCAGTGTCCTGACGGGCAGAGCGTGAGCGAAGACAAGAGTTATATTGTATCTGAGATACAAGAGCTTGTGGTTTGCCGGTAGAGTGTATTTTGTGAGACAAGCTAGTGGAGTGCTGTTGGAGCAGCTGAATGGCAGTAGATCAGCCCAGTCCCTCGCGCAGTCCGAGATATGATCTCAGTTGCGATGGCCGGGGACAACGCGCAGCGCAAAGTTCGATACATTACGGGAGTCGCGTGTTTTCTCTGACCAGTTGTCATAGACGGCAAGGCAATAGCAAACCTGCAAGGGGACCGAGTCATTGACCAGAGTAGGCAGAAGGTCAGGAGGGATCTGATGACGTGCGTGCGATGGCTAGGTGAGGATACCGTTACACTTTTTGATGAAGGCAGATCCGTAAGAGTCTCAGGTGATGTGCTTGTCAAACACTGCGCCGGGTCCCCTCACGGTTGGACCCCCACGCACTGATCTCTTGCGGGTGCGGCTGACCAGTGCTCTGCATGTCTATCTGAACTGCTGCCTATTCTTGATGCTTCTCTGCAGCGTATCAAA